GTCCTTCACACACCTCTCCAGGACCCATAACACAATCCTTTCACCTACTTCTACCTGGTTTTTGATGGGCCAGGATTCAGATTCAGACTCTCACTCCAGTTCTGATAATGCTGCTCCAGCTGAGACTGTGTAGGCTGTTAGCCTCTGGAATGTTCAAGCCATGATTTGTCTTATGGGACCTAGGAAGTAGGTTTTCTCCATAAGTGTCTCTAACCTGTTGAAACTCCTTCTCCGAGATCCAGCCCTTTCCTCCTAGACTTCTGGAAGGCCTTGAAGAGCTGGCTTTTTTTCTGCAAGCATCTGAAAAAGGTGAGGCTGGAAGTTTGTACGCTTGAATGTGGATGAGTGATGATGATGTATGTTGTTTTTAGGATGCCAGGAGTTTCTGTTGTGGTTTTTATGTTTTTATTGTTGTGTGTGCCACCCAACATTACAGTACCTAAAATTTTTCCAATAAATGAATAAATAAATTTATGATTGTAAGGAGAGACAGTTTATATTCTGTTGTATTTCAAGTGATAACTTTAATTATAGGTCTTACAAAATTGTCCACTTCAAACAATATTCTAAAAGTCAGGAGGACAACGTCCTGCAGCATTTCATATTGCTACAATCTCCTATGATTTCTTCCTCTTTTAAATAGAGCCTGCTGTGAAAACAATACAATCTCTGTTTAAATTAAAATGTTCCATTTACCTAGAAAGTTCTCTATGGACACATGCATAATTAAAATGCATAAAGCACAGCCCAGTAAAGTGGTGGTCATAACATAGCACTAAGTAGAATCTTAACAGCTGAACATTCCTATGTCCAAAGTAATATGGTCCAGATTCCATATGACTTTCCAGAGTAGTAAAAACCCTTCAATCACCAAGAGTTTCCTTTTCTGGGGGCTAATAAATCTGTCTATTAGTTACCTGAAAAGTTAAATGGTCCCTTTCCACAGACTCTAAGCCTTCCTTCCAGGGAGTCTTGTATTATTCTCTCACACTACAATTTTGGATCTTGTTTGGAGTGCTTAAGGATGGGATGTCTTCATGTTTACTGCCTTTGGGATGGCTCCAGCAAGATAGAACAATAATGAATATGTAGACATTTGCCTTTCTATCTTTCCTTGCCCTGCTTATGTTAGGAAAAGAACCCTTTCTTGCTTAGAATTGAAGAAAAATAAAATATCTTCCCCATCTAAACATATACTAAGTCCACCTCTGGTTAGGGGCATGTTCAAAATAGAATATTTTGTCCATCTAAACATATGCTAAGTCCATCTCTGGTTAGGGGCGTGTTCAATCTCCAGCTTGTCCTCTTTGGGGTGGGGGGGGGTGTACGTTAAAATGAAGGTTTCCAAGACACCGTTAGCCATGGAGGCTGGCAGAAGAGTTTGGCTCTATTTCCTGACTACCAAGATTTGAATCTTCTCTATGCTCAGAGGGAAAAGCTGGAGAATCCAATTGTCTGTGGATCAGCAGTCTCAAGACTGAATCTCCTCAGCATAAGAAATAAAACATTGGATTCCATCTTCAGAAGATCAATAGATTAGCACTGTTTTTCTCTGGGATGAAAAAGTATTGGGGGGCGGGGAATAGTATGTGGGACACATCTATAGAAGACAATGCCTTCACTAGGACATCTCATGCTACTGGANTTCACTCTTTGTCTTCCTCCAGCTTCATCTTGAGAAGTTGCTTGGCATATCATGGCATCTATGATTTCCATATGCAGAGAAAATCCACAGGCTAATACCCTGGTTGTCTATTTATTCCAAGCAGTGACAAGGGCACCAGCCAACTACTCAGAAGAGCTTCAGAAGAAAACTCAGCTCCTCCCTGAAACCACACTTGTTCCATCAGGCACCTGGGGCAGGCCAATGTAATAGCTCCTGTCTCCATGTGGTGAGGGGCACTTCCTAAGCACTCTAGGGCCAATTTTCTATCCATGATAGGGGACCTGTGTTAATACTCCCCCAATCCAGATAATAAAACAGATGCCCTGAAGCAAATTCCAAAGTCAGTATGTGGCCTCCTATGTGAAGCAGATCATGAATAAGTTGAAGCAGGTCCAAGGTTGCCATGGGCGCCATGAACCCTGCTCCGATCCCAGGCCCAGAAACAGCAGACTGAAACCTCCCAGAACCATAAGCCAGCTCAGACACAGAGACCAGGAGCAGTTAGGGATGCAGTTATACAGAGAGGAAGGTAAGTAAGCAGCAACCCCCAGTCTTGCAAACAGTATATCACCTCTACTGATGTCTGACGCAGGGTCCCTGAAGGCCACCTGATACCAGTAACAACTGCCACTCTGTCCTGGAGTCATAGCTGATACCATACCCAAAACCTAAGAAGACAAATTTCAGAATGGGAATCCCTCTCCACTTCGTTGTCCTACCAGTGATACAAGCCAGATGACTCCTCCATCCACAATCTGATTGTGACTAAAGTCAGCAATGCTCTGGAAACCAGGATCTGGGGCCAAACATGGAGCCAAAATGCAGTACTGGGACCTCCTTCCCTGAAAGCACCCATCTGTCTCCCACCATACTTTCCCAAGCCATTGCAATACCACTGCAATCCTCTTCCTTATCATCTCCTTTCTCTTCCTATCTACCTTCCCTTCCCTTCAGCTTTCCATCCCAAGGGACTGAGAGCCACCCACTTCCATCTTAACTACCTAGATTCTATACAAACAGGCTCTGCTTTGGCACTTCTGTAGCCCACTTACTGCCTCTACCCTGAGCAGACACACAACTTGTCCTTCACACACCTCTCCAGGACCCATAACACAATCTTTCCTTTCACCTACTTCTACCTGGTTTTTGATGGGCCAGGATTCAGATTCAGACTCTCACTCCAGTTCTGATAATGCTGCTCCAGCTGAGACTGTGTAGGCTGTTAGCCTCTGGAATGTTCAAGCCATGATTTGTCTTATGGGACCTAGGAAGTAGGTTTTCTCCATAAGTGT